TATATATATATATAAAGGAGACACCTAGACACCTAAGCCTAGGGCCTTGAGGAGACACCGTGCAGCAGCAGCAGCAACAGCAGCAGCAGCAGCAGCAGCAGCAACAGCAGCAGCAGCAGCAACCGCAGCAGCAACAAAAAGAACAGCAGCAGCAGCAGCAACACCCAGGAGGTTCATGCTGTGCAGCGTTGCTTGAGGTGTCTCCTTAACCCTAAACCCTAAACCCTAAACCCTAAACCCTAAACACTAAACCCTAAACCCTAAACCCTAAACCCTAAACCCTAAAGAGGTTTTGTCTCCACCCTGTAAACCCCCGAAGGAGTGTAATAGTAGAATAACAGACTAAACCCTAAACCCTAAACCCTAAAACCCTAACACTAAACCCTAAACCCTAACTCTAAACCCTAAACCCTAAAACGCTTACTGTAAACCCTAAACCCTAAAACCCTAACTCTAAACCCAAAACCCTAACTGTAAACCCTAAACCCCAAAACCCTAACTTTAAACCCTAAACCCCAACTGTAAACCCTAAACCCTAAACCACCGAGGGACAGCAGAGCCAAAGAGGCCTCGGGGTCGTTGTGTTTGATTGTGTTTTTTATTGTCTCTCTTTTTTTTTTTTTCTCTTCTCTGTGTTCATCTTTCTTACTCTTGTAGGGTTAGGGTTTAGGGTTTAGGGTTTAGGGTTTAGGGGGTTTGTTTATACTGTCTCCTTTTGTCTCCTTTATCGTTTCTCTATTTCTCTATGTTGTCTCTCTTTTTCTGTTTTTATTTATTTTTTTTGTCTCTCTTTATCTTCTTTTTTATTGCTTATACACTGCAGCAAACCCTAAACCCTAAACCCTAAACCCTAAACTCATTTCTCCTGAGCCAGTAGAGACACCAGACTGCACCCACCTAAACCCTAAACCCTAAACCCTAAACCCTAAACCCTAAACCCTAAACCCTAAAGCCTAAACCCTAAACCCTAAACCCTAAACCCCAAACCCTAAACTCTAAACCCTAAACCCTAAACCCTAAACCCTAAACCCTAGGGAGACAATATCTGTCCCCTGGATGATGATGAAGAAATGATTGGTGGGGTTTAGGGTGTATGCACGCAGCAGGAGACGCAATACAGGCAGCAGCAGCAGCAGCAACAGCAGCAACAACAACAGCAGCAAGCGCAGCAGCAGCAGCAGCAGCAACGGCAGCAGCAGCAGCACCAGCAGCAGCAGCAGCAGCAGCAGGAGCAGCAGCAGCGGGGGCTATCGTTTGGTTGGGGCTTGCTTGCATGCATCTGTTCTTTGGGGTGTCTATGCAGCTCTCTTTATGTTGACTTTTATTTCTTTTTGCTTTTAATTAAATAAAAATATAAAAATAAATTAATTTACAGCCGAAGAAATACCAGTTGGTTGGGGTGTATAGGCAGGTGGGCATGACGTGCAGGCGCAGCTGCTGAGGTGTTGTGTTTCTGTTTCTGTTTTTGTTTTTTTTTTTTCTGTTATAAATTAATATTTATATTTATATTTTATTTTTTATTTCTTTTTTATAATGAATTCACTTCTGCGTCTTGGGGGCCCCCTACAACGATGGCCAGGGGCCTCCTCCTCTATGCGTTGGCGTGCTGCAGCAGTAGGGGGGTTGCTGCAGCAGCAGCAGCAGCAGCAGCTGCAGCAGCAGCGTAATTTATCTTTACATGAATACCAATCTCTCAATCTGCTGCAGCAGTTCAACGCTCCCGTCCCCCTATACAGTGCAGCAACAACCCCTGACGAAGCCTACGCAGCAGCAGCAAAGCTCCTAGAACAGCAGCAGCAGCAGCAGCAGCAGCAGGAGCAGCAGCAGCAGCAGCAGCAGCAGCAGCAGGGTGTGGTGATAAAGGCTCAGGTGCTAGCTGGTGGTAGGGGTTTAGGATATTTTAAGGAGAATGGATACCGCGGGGGTGTACACTGCTGCAGCACAGCAGCAGAAGTAAAAACAGCAGCAGCAAACATGCTAGGATATACACTAATAACTAAACAAACTGGAGACAGAGGGAGACAGTGCAACACAGTTTTAATTTGTGAAAAAATTAATGTTGAGAAGGAGTTCTATCTCGCTCTTCTTCTCGATAGAAACACAGACGGGCCCTTGCTTGTACTCAGGTATATATATATATTTATATTTATTTATTTATTTATTTATTTATTTATGTTTTTATTTATATTTATTTTTATATTTTATGTTTATAAAGATAGTAATTAGGGCTTATGGTTTAGGGTTTGGGGTTTGGGGGGTGGGGGGTGGGGGATTAGGGTTTCGGGCGTGTTGTGTATGGTTTAGGGTTTAGGGTTTTTGTGTATTCATGGTTTACACTCTATAC